AGGTGTGACACCCACACCCACACCCACACCCACACCCACACCCACACCCACACCCACACCCACACCCACACCCACACCCACACCTCACCCTCAAGAGAATTGTAAGACACTTTATTCAGTGATCAAGTCACGTTCTGGTAATGTATTTTAATTAATAAAAAACCGACATAAGACTAATAATAAAAAACATGCAGAAGATCTTTTCTCAATGTCGAATCAGTTAAACTCGGGACTAATGTCAGTAGATGTTCTGGATTGATTTGTAACACGTTAACTCAGAAAGTTGCGTACATGAAGCTTTGTAATGGTCTGAAAAATAAATTCATTTGTGACTTTATTCGATGGTCTCTAGCTCGTGTTTGCCATCGTAAATTCTTATCAGAACCGGATAGACAATCCATGCAAAACTTAACAACGCATAAGACTTGTTTTGATTATGATGAATTTGATTTTGTTGTTGATTGTTTGCCGTGTCAGTTTTTTGCTTTTTATTTCGTTTTTTCTTCGTCGATGGATTATATAGCCATTCATAAGTCACACGAAACCATGCTGATGCTTTCTTGATTATTTCACTATCGTTGGTAATATCAATTTTACTATAGTATGAAAACAAATCAAATTGATTTTTCCATGTTAATTTTTTTGATACATCGGACCATTGCACAGTTTCGATCAATTGATCTGCATTATTTGCATAAGAATAAACTTCTTCGTAAAAGATTCGCAAATATCTAATAGAAAAAAATGAACAACAATATTGACTTTTGATCATCTTCATTCTTACTTATCCTGAATGATTTTCACTGCATGCATTATTTCGTTTCTTAATTCAAATGTATTCGCCTGTTTTAAATATTGTTTCGTAGTAAATTTTAAAACATATCCGGAAACGAGTTCAGCTTCACTTTGAATTCCATATTGTCGCATAATTCGTTTCAGTTCTAAGTCGTACTCATTCTTCGTTGTAGAAGCAGCTGTCATAAAAGCATTCGATCCATCAACAACCAACGCGTAATAAGGAAAAGAAGATGTATTAACAATATTCTGTCCTTTATTTTCATTCAGATCGATTTCAAACCGTTTTACTTCGTCATAAAGTTGACCAAGAATTGTCTGTGAATGATAACTTGGTTTTTGTCTATTTTCCATAAAATGAGGATATTTAGAAGGACGAAGTTCAGACGTTAGACGTTGTGCACTAACACCATTCTTGGCAAAATCAACAGCCGTACTATGAAATAAATTTTTCATTAATATCAAAATATCGATTAATGTCTATCATGAACGTTTTACCTGTGCATTCTAGCCAGTTGAAGACATGCTTTTGCTTTAGCTTGAAATAGTGATTGATCAGCAAAAGCCAAATGGCTATTTGCAATCATACCAAGACTGCAAACAAATCATTGGAGATTATTTTCGATGAGATTAATCGTAAAACTTACTTATCGGCTTCGATATATTCAGCAAAAAATTTGCAGATATCATTTATATCAAAGGTAATATTTGTATCCAATTGCATTTGCATAGCATCTTCTGTAGCTTGATCATGATAATCGAATGGTTTTTCATTATTTTCGAATAGTAATCGTTGTTCATGTGATACCCAAAATATATCACCATCAAGGTCACCACCAGACATTTCGGCTGGATGTGATTGTTCACCATTCATCGGAAATACAATGACATTTTTTAAGTCATGCAGAGCAGGTACATTAACAGCATTCAAACGACGAATATCTCCTATAATGATGGATATCTTTTGAAATAAAGAAATGAATGCGAAATCAACCTGGATGAAAACAAGGATTTCTAGTAACGATGACTGGCCCAGTTATAATTTTGGAGGAAGCATCACCACTTTCAGGTTTTCGCTCAATTCGAATAAAAACTTCTCCGTATCGAAGTGTTCCTGTCTCATCAACAACGCCAAAAAGAGACCAGGTATTAGGAACGAGAATACGTGTTTTTGTTCGCAACTCTTTAACATGAAATGCTTGAACAGCGATTAGTATCTGTCGAGCAAATGGATCAATGCGATTGCCAAACCTTTTCAGATATTCCAACAAAAAGCCATGATATCCATTGCCACTGGATGCACCGAATTGTTTTAAAAATTCACGGGCTTTTCGATGATCGACAGTAAGTACTCTCAAATGGTCAAGCATTTGTTCTTGCATTGAATAAAAGATTTCATCTTTGATATCTAGTGATGATAGCAACAGAATGATTTGACGATTTAAAAAACCGACCGATGGCATTGATGAAACATGAACAATATCGATAGAACGATTATTGGAATCGAATTTATTCATTGATGGACGAAGATATAAACCAACGTCAGGTTCATCAATATGCTTAGCGACATCCAAGCAGACCATTCCTGAGAAAGAAAATTATGTCAAACTCTCATATATTGAATAATAAGACAACCTTTGTAACCGCCGAAACGAATTTGAAAGGCACAAGGATGATAGGCGTCATGATCAATGTGTAATTCTTTACACAACTCTTTTACAAGCCACGAAGAAATAATACCAATACCATCAGTAAAACATGATTTGCCGGATTTTACATCAGATATTTCTCTATATTGATGACGAGACAATTCAAGACCTTTTCTAGTTGTCGAGAACGATTGACCTAACTAGAAGAAAACCATGACAAACTTGTTAAGTAGAACCGCATTACTCACGCGAGCAGCCATCTTCGCTACTGGACGAATATTTTGAAAGTCACCCATCCAAAAACGAATAATACTAGCTGAAACATTGTTCACGGATGAAAACATCCAACAGCAATGTTCTCGCAACTGTGAACTTGAAAACGCAAGAAATTCATAGCATCTATCGCATATACCAATTCCATTAATTAATATTGCTTTGATACGATCGTACAATTTACTCATATCGGCATTCGTATATTGTAATTTTCGATAATCTACAAGAGAAACTTGCAATATATTATCTGATTAAAATTATGACTAACCTTCATCACGAAAACTGACACGTAAAAATCTATCTTGTTGTTTTTCGAAATGACGTGTTACGAGACATTTTTCTTCACGATATGGTCCTTCATAAAGAATTGTGGATGGTGTTATATATACTTTTCGGATGAAAGATGAACTAGAATGTATCGTATGCAATTCATGTTTAGTAACAAATATTCCACCATCGGTCGTCTGACGAAGTTCATGTTTATTTTGTAGTTGTTTAAGTGCTAAGATAAGAAAACGGCTGAGATAACCCAGACGATGTTTTTGAACTAAAACATTAAGTCGATTGATGTTATTTGTTAAAAATATTTGTTCAGTATTCGTCGCGTCGATTGATGTACCAATAGCTGAATGAATGATAACAGATGGTACATCGTCGCTATCGATACACTCATTTTCTGCTATTCTAGTCACTGTTGATTGATCTTCTCCTCGTTTTGCTTGTTCATCTTCATCCCAATTTCCATCTTCATGATCACAAGTTTCATGAAGCCAACGAGGAGCAAACTCAACAATTTTATCTAATAAAAAAAAAACATTCAGTATCAGATGTAAATACAATCAGAAAGTGTAGTTGACTAACCTGTGCATGCGATAAATGTGTTTAATGAGCATTGTGCTAATATTTTATCAAGCTGTTCATCAATAATCAAATCATGAATAGTAATTATATGTTTGGAAAGTAATTTCATTATTTCATATTTGGTTTCAAATGGATATTGTGGCCAACGATAATCAAGAAAACGTGATACGATCTCGCAATTTTCCTTAATCCATTGTTCATTAGATAACAATTGTACATGTCGAAGGTATTCTCTCGCATTTCGAAGTGATTTAATCATATGAAGAATATGATGTTCAAAGAAACGTCGTGGTGTCAGATTGAAACGACGAAGAAATTGAAATAATTTAATGTAGTCATCCGCAAACTTTTGACCAGCCAGTCGAAAAAGCCATGCATTTGCATGTCCAATGAGCGGAGTTCCAGGCATATGTGTATCGTATACTTCACTGCTAAGAGGATTCGAATAACTATGCAGAATTAACGGTGGTTGTTTCACTTCAACGAGTAAGCCAACGATCGAATCGTTGATTAAAACTGGACTAATCTTCTCTCCTTTTAAGCTGAAAAAAAATAGATAAAATGTATAAAAAAAAGACCTGACGTATACATTGAAATGAAATCCTCACGCTCCAAAGTTCCATTCAAAAGTATATTTATTAGAGGAACCGAACAGTACTGACGATTCATAGGAAACAATGATTGAAACTTTTCGATCTTGTTCATTAATTCTTAAACTAACACTAGCATTGCAATTTTGAGTAACAAGTGGGTGCGCAATTAAGGCGAACTCGCCAGCAGTATGAACGCTAGTAATAGTGCTTCTAGCTACTTCCATAATGAATGTGCCGTAATATACATTTTCAATACTGAAACTGGCGGCACTGGCTGTATTATCATGGACTACTGAATCGACGATCATTGCTTTCATTTGTTGTCGAGATTTTTTACAACGATCAATTTTCAGTCGCCGACCATTAAGAACGAATTTTCCTGGGGCTTCTTCAAAGTCATACAGTACTTTTTCAGCAGTAGATTCGGAGTCAAATTTCACAAAGGCACAACCACGATGTCCTGTCTATATTAACGACAAAAAATAGTTCATAAATCATAAAGACAAACGTTTACCGTTTTCTGACTATTTGGCAGATCGACACGCATAACATTGTAGTTAAGTTTGGTAAACAGAGCTCTTAGATCACGCCAACCAGCACTATAAGAGACATTTCCAACGAACAATTTGTCTGGTGCATAAGGAGTCGTACTTGATTGATTGGCGGTTGGATCAATCGATAGATAGTACGGTGACAAATCTGTAGTCGTTTCAAACAGTGAAGGAACTCCAATATACCAGCGAATTGAGTCATTGAAGAGTGGGAGAGATGTTAGTTCGTCGGAAGATAAATGTGATGAAACATCAACTGCAGATCGAATGTCATTAGATAAATACGGATCGACCACAGGCACTGAATTATTGTTTAATTTTTCGGTAGGTGAAACTGATTTCAAAAATGATGTGAGATGGCTTACATCTTCGAAATGCGATAATTCATCATCCAAATCATTCAAATCATCATCACTATCATCACTTTCTAATGAAAATGCTCTTTTCTGTTTTTCTTCTTGCATCTGAAAAGTAATGCTACGTTTAAAATGAATTTCTTTTTGGCATGACTCATACAGCATCACCATTATTTGCACCTATTTGATGTTCTTTTTATGAGGGAGTTGAGAATTCGGATTATTATGTTTCATGTGAGTATACTTGTGGGTAAGGAAGTTAGATATATTTTTGTTCACATCGGTCATGTCTGTTGTCAACACTAACATTTATTTTCATCCTGAATATACACTATAAACAAATTTTTTTCCCACTCACTCTGTGTCATTGAGTCTCAGGTTGCTTGTATTTTATATGTATAATACAATGACGTTCTTCTTCCGTTCTCTTCACGACTATTTTTACTTCACTATGATGTAATTCTGTATATATGTTGATTATACGTCTGTCAATGACGCACCGTTTCCGATAAAGCTCTACTGGCATTGACATTATCGCTGCACATGGCTCTCGTCTTAGTCATCTCCATGAATTGATATCAGGACTTTTTTCAAGCAAGAATAAAAGATAGAGGAAAGAACATCAAAGATTATGTGCTGTAAAAAGATTTTCATCTATGGGAGTAAAAACATATCAAAGTAAATCAGATAATATTTGCTATCACTATAAGTAATGATTACCTCATTAGTATCTTATTTAACCTGATAAAAAGATCATATGTCACCTGTTAAAAAATCATTTGATCAAGGTTTACATACTGTCTTCCAAGTACTCATTTGTTGTTCTTCATAAGATGTTATAACAAAGAAGTAAAATGAGTTGTAAGAGCAACTTTTATACAACGAATTATACCCAACAGAATTTTTTCCCACTCAACTTTTTTCTTTGTTTTCCTTTTCTTTCTTACAATATCATGTTACCTAAGAAACGTGTGAAAAAACCCAATATCATTATTTTATCTTAAGCGTATATTCAACATAGTCTCAAATAAAGCTAAGAAAATTTGAATTTTTTCATAAAAACTGATGTGTCTGACTAGAAATATGGGTGTGGGTGTGGGTGTGGGTGTGGGTGTGGGTGGGTGTGGGTGTGGGTGTGGGTGTGGGTGTGGG